GGTGACGGCCGGTGGTTTCGCCGGAGAAGGAATGGAATCCAACGACAGTGGGGGGTCTCCGGCGGTGTAGTGACGGTCGGCGGTGGTGGGGCTGGTGGCTGGGTTAGAGTTTAGGGTTTTTTTTTTTAATTTTAATTTTTATTAATTTTTATTTTTAAGCCAATACACAGCTGACACGTGTCCCTAGTGGGTCCCACTAACGGTTTCCATCCAAAAATCCGTTAGTGGGTGGTGAAACCAAAATTTTGGGATTTTTGTAGGTGTTATAATAAAATTTCGAAATGTTAAGGTGTTATAATCAAAATCGGGTCTTTTTACAGGTGTTATTTTCTAATTTGGCCTTGACTTTATGCATGTTCGATTAGCATACTACAAAATAGATAGACCACATTAAATGATAATGAATATGTTATCGATCATGTTGTAGCACCGAAGCTCAAAAGAGTTTACTAGAAGGGGATAGAGTTAATTGGTCATGTTAATTTGGTACTTCAAAGTTTAAATTAAAGCATTATTGTTAGTAGTAATAATGTGCACCAATTTCTATTACTAAGGCATACAATATATGGTTTATTATTAATTTATGTCGATAATCTTTGAGCATATGAGCAGTAGTTGAACAATTAACTAGGCCAAATTTATCTTAGTAAAATTCTAGCTACTAGGTAGTGAAATTACCTAACCTCATGTCAATGACTAATAAGGTCAATATGGACTCACGTCATACTCTGCAAAATCAATGATTGTAATAATTGTGTTTTCTTTTTATTGCTAACTGTAAGCAATTAGGCCTAGTTCTTTCCCCTACAAAAATAAATTTTTAGTATGTAGTAATTAAATATGAAGCTTGTCAAAAAAAAAAAAAAAAAAAAAAAAGAAGAAAAAAAGTATAAGCTTCTATTGGTAAATATTACGAGTAATTTTAATGAATACTCCATAATGATTAGTTTGACTAACATAAATTAGTAAACCATGAATTGGAGTAAATAACATATTTGTTCAATAAAAATCGACTTTAAGAACAAAAATCAAGTAAAAAGTAGATGCATGTAGAGAACATGACCCTAAATTGTACAACTAGCTAGCTTTTGAGTTAGTTATAGCCGGCCTCATATTTTCATAAAAAGATTAGATAACAAACCGATGCTTTATTTAAGTTGTTACCTTATTGAAATTTATAATTATATTTATCAGAATTTGGATCAGGTAAAATAAAACTGCTACTTAAAAAATTACGACCATCACACTTACTAAAGGATCAAATAATCAATTGTGGTTTATCAATATATCTATCTATATTGGCTTATTAAGTTGCAATAGGTAATAATAGGGCACAAAGAGTAGGACCTAATCTATCATTATCACTAATAATAGTAAGTCACTATGAATCTTAATGTACACTTGGTTGGCTCTAGATCTACCATAGATTTTACCTTTGTTTATAATAATTCAAAAGGATTGGAGGAAGAATGGGTGCTTAACAACATATCATTTACATTTCTAAGGCCAGGCTCTCCAAATTTGTTGTTTAGTATGTACTTGGGTTAATTAATTTTTTAAGGGAAATTAAAAAATTGGTCCCAAGAAACCAAAAAGTGATTCACTTCTGTCATAGACTATCAATTCAAAGCATTTTCTCATTTCTTGTACTATACATGATATAATCTTCTAACTTTATACTAGATTTTGTCTTTTAGAATCTTTCATTATATTATAATCCTATAAACTTCAACGTCATTACCTATTTATGGCATTATTATGTCCTTAATTAAATCACCTTAACCCAATTAAACAATGCACTACTTTCCCAAATTACAAATATTTGAGTGCCATGTGTCGATACGATGACTCATAACGTCGACCACGTGTCCAAATGATGAGTCATAGACATCTTCCCTTTTATATCAATAAAGGCAGCCCCATTACCATATAAGGTATCCTAGAAACTTCTTTATGCCATATATAACAAAGATTATTGGGGGACTATTATATTTTAATTACAAAGCATATAATTTAGGTTAATGAGATTAACAAATGTGAGGAAACCATTGGATAAGAAGCCGCTTTCGAAGGAAACACCAACAACCCACTTATCTTTTGCCCCCGGGTGAATCAAAATTATGTTTTACTGTTGAGTTAGCTGGCCCTAGCTTAGGATGAGTAAGAATATTAGACATGTTAATCTAGAGATTATGGTTGCATAATTGCACTTATTTAGTACGGCATTAAATTGATCTCTAAACACTTTAGGCCCCATATGAAATGAAATTTTATGATCTTATACAATCTAATTTAATAGGATGATATTTCATGTTGTTAATTATTGGTGAAATCCTTACATAAATTCTTTATTTTATAGTTATACTTCATCTATAATAAAGTCATTTTCAAACAACATACATCTAGACAAGCAAAATATAATCTTTGTTTCAAAATTACAAATTTCAAAAAAAAAAAAAAATACAAAAAAAAGAAGAAAGTTTTCCTACATACAACCCTAATGAAAGGAGTATACTTCACGTAGCCTGGTTCTTAACCTTATTTTCCTACTAGTTTTTTTAGGAAAAATAAATTCAGATAGTGTTAAAATAAGCTATTCAAGTTTAAATTACAAGTTTAGTACTATAATTTATATAGGTGAGAATCAGGCAAATAAAATACACCCTTGTTCGTTTATTAATAAAACTGAATATGATGATTTGATATAGATTAAAGAAATTAAAGTTTTAATACCATACTCATTGTAAAGTGAGCATAATTCGATCGTAATTTGATATCGTAAGAAACTCTCTAATCTAAATACGACTCTTTAAATCTAAATTGTAAATTATTGGAATTTCTCGTATATGCTTCCTTTACATTAGATGATTGTGAAAATGATGAGAGTGAGGGACAACTCAATTGATTAAAACTTTCATTCTAATTGTAGAGTATTCTGGGATTGATTCTTATCACCTGTTCTTGTAAATCTCTTAACACTATCATAAATGTCATACTATATCTGCAAAAATGTTAACTTTTGATCATCACGAGATGTTGAAACAACATAGCATAACAATTAATAATTCTGGATGGAGAATTATATTTTAAGTTACATGTGAATCTATATGTTGAGTAGGTAGAAGCGAAGTTTTATAAACAATCTCATCATTTTTGTTTCAAACCTCTTATGGTAAGGGCAAAGGGTTTCCATACTTAAAAAATATAAAGGCTAGCTTCCCTTTCTAGAAAGTAATAGCTTTGTATCATCAATAATATAGAGAAAATGAGTCATATGTCCTACATGTTTTATAATAATAAAATAAAGATGAAGTTTCTTAGTATATTACTCAAATAATCAAAAAAATGATTTTGTCCAATATTAATCAATAAGATTGGTCCAGTTTTCGTACATTTGTCCCATCTTTTGGATTTTGGTGGCTCTAGTTATGTTGGTTCAGGTTATACTTAGAGAATGTGGAAACAAAGTATAACTCAACTAAGTTAATTACTTTTAATGGTTCATTAATTACGGTAAAGCACATGTCCCCATGCTTTAATAATCTCCCACATAATATAATTATTATATAGATTAATTTGTATTACAAATAATGATTCATCACACACGCAATCAATGAAATTATAAAGATTATCACCCAATCTATTTTTAATTTTTAATTATATGTCATAATATTCGATATCAAGTGCGGTACGGTAGCATACAATTAGTACCCCCATTTGGCAAATTTTTATAGGTCAAACTTTGATTTTATCAATTGATGTAATTTACTTACGTTCTAAAAGTTTAAGACAAAAAAGTTGATAGAACCTTAATTTCTGACGGTAATTATTGGTACTTCCTCTTATTTGTTAAGGTAGTTTTAGTTTCTCAAGATTGTGATTTGTGTACTATGAAGATTTTCTTTAACTCTCTTCTGAGGATTGCCAATTAAGTAATTAAGGTTTTTTTTTTTTTTTTTTTTTTTTCCAACAAATTATGTAATTAAGTTGATGATGAGTCATTCTCCTTTGGCGAGCCGTGAGATAAAAGTCAATTCAATTTGAGATATTCCGTATGTTGTAATATACATAAGATACATTAATGATAAACAACAATAACGAACGAACACATAATTTTCTACGGTTACTGGCTTAGGGAGTTTGTATACTACCCCTAAAACAAAAACAATATAATAGGCCTAATAATGCATTATAGCCCAAAACTACAATTCAAGACATATTCAAACAAAAATATATGAATGTATGATCTTCGAATCAGTCTCATGGTCTCGCCTACATTATGGATATGATGATCGATAAGTCACCCTATATATATAACAAATTAATGATATAACAAGCAAGTGCAACCCTTTGTGACCTTCAAATAATAAAACAGCTAACAATGCAAGTTAATCTAAGACCGGCTGACCTCATCACACAGACGAAATTATGTCATAAAATCTATCTCGCATAAGCTTTCGCATATTGTTATGAGTAATTTGAGTGTTATTTCATTAGATTTTACATTGGTTTGATTCAATAATCTGTGTACTTCTTTATACTTAGGCCAAGGAAGAAATAAGCAAAAATAATGTACTACGAACGCATCTCACCTTTTTTTTTAAAAAAAAACCTTGTATTAATTATCATACAGATTTTAGCATATCGTTTAACCAAACTTTTGTTGTCATATCACTTGAGCTTTTATATATTTTGCATAACTTTTTTTAATAAATTTTGTTCAAATTTTCACCCATTATTGATAATTTTTATTATTATGGTTTAATAATTGATAATCTGACAAACAAAATCATACCACAAGTGGTACTCGAATTTTAAATCGTTATTCAAAATCACAAACGAATAAAAAATTGACACATAATAGTAGCAATGGATGAAGGGAATACAACATAACGAGTATAATTTAATATAATAGTTTAAGACTAAGTGGTCGATGAGGTCACCATATATTGAGTGCCATACAAGATTTTTATTTCTTTTCAAGGGTTGATATGACTAGCAAAGTGTTTATGTTATACAACTATATATATGTTGTAGTTTAGAAGCCTTAGAGTGTGTGTGTGAGTGCATGTCTCAAAGTTTGGCAGCAGACAAAAATTGAGTCAAAGTTCTAAAAATGGTTGGCAGTTTGATGGCAGCTTGGCCTGTTCAACAACAACAACAAGGTTGGAGGAAGGGACCTTGGACACCTGAAGAGGATAAGCTTCTTATTGAATATGTCAATTTGCATGGCGAAGGTAGATGGAGCTCCGTCGCCCGTTGTGCAGGTAATAATTTTATCTAGTGCACATTCGCCATTGTGCACGTAACAAAACACGAGTCTCCGCTTTTCATTAGTCATATTGTATAGGGAAAAGTATAACCTGATAGGTTTAGATGTCTGCAGAAACGAACCTTACCTCTAACCACCACGAACCAACAATTGACTTATTATAGTTTTTGAAAGAGTTCGTGACTTATTTTAAACACGATAATCCATGTATCGAGTTTTTCTCTTGTTTGATTATTGATTTTAGTGAAATTTGGGGTTTGTACAGGATTGAATAGGAGTGGGAAGAGTTGCAGGCTAAGGTGGGTGAACTACCTAAGGCCAGGACTAAAGAGAGGTCAAATAACCCCTCAAGAAGAAGGCATCATTATTGAGTTACATTCTATTTGGGGTAACAAGTAAGATACTTTTACTTTAATTTCTATATATAATACGAAACAACTTTTTTTCCAAGATAATAAAAATGATTTTAACACGTTTAGTTATAATAGGATTATTAGAAGAAGAAAAACATGTTCTCATTATCGATTTGTATTATTATTTGTATAGATGGTCGACGATTGCTAGATATTTACCAGGAAGAACAGACAATGAAATCAAGAATTATTGGCGAACTCATTTCAAGAAGAAGGAAAGATCTCGAAAAGCCTCTGAAAGACGAAAATCCGGCCAAAACCTAAAACCAAAGCCACTACTACGGCCACAACCACAACCACAACCGCAACCACAAGTCCAACAACTTATTCCAGGAAGCAAAAATGAACCAATGAACCAAGTTCCTCCATCTCAAGAAAATAGTCCTAATAACAATAAGCAAGAGGTTGTATTCATGAACAACCCAAACACCACCACCATAGAGGAGCCAAACTTGATGATGATCGCGGCGTCTTCTTGGATGGACACCACGTGTAACGATCAAGACGGTTCGTGGTGGGGGAGTCTATGGAACTTTGGTGAACAAATGCAACAAGCTGATAGTTCTCAATACTGTAGTAAGATGGCACTATCACTACTAAACCAAGCTAATACTAATAGTAGTACAACTAATAATATTATTATTAACACTAATAATAATGGATTCTCTTGGGAAGGGGATTTAAACAATATTTATAATGGAGGTTACATTTTTTAATTTAGAGAGCATAATAGTAATAATATTAATTATATAGTTTCTTCATCTTAAACATTATTATTGGTGTTCTTGTAAGATAATACTTATTATTAGGCCAGCTAATGATGTGTAATCGTACATTATTATCATTAGTTTTTTCCTTTTATTTTTAATTTTATGTAGTTTTAATTTGGTTGTAATGCACGTATATGACTACCATTGGTTAACGTTTGATAATAAAGCAAAAGAGAAAGGTCTGCGCTGTATAATGCAAGTTATTCAGGCTTAGCTAGCTTCACTTTTGACTTTGTACGACTGCTGCTGTAGAGCATGCAATTTTTAAATTGTTCGTATGTTGTAATATACTTCTTAATTCTTCAATGAGATCTTATTTATATTATTATCATTTTAATTTCTTAGTTATTAGCTAGCTATTCTTAATTTGCATGGTCTACTTGATTATTTAATCTTTGGTGTTATTGTTATATGTTACATACACTTTTGTAATTTTAAGATCGAGATCAAGTGTTGTTCGGATATTTTATATATTTCACAAAAAGAGGTGTGACTATATTTATGTAACGTACTAGATCTTCTAACCTTACTGAATATATGAAAAGTATGTGTTATAACACATTCGATCCTAGGGCTCAAGTAAGAACAAAAAAATTTAAAAATCATGAAATCAAATATTCCATAATCTTTCCGAATTCCCTATAAATAAAGACACTGAAATCAAATATTCGATAAAGCGAATTATATGCTTGTACTTGAGATTGAACCCTACAAGTGTCCAACCCTAATGGGGGAAGGATCGGAGTAAGAGGAAAGGGTATCCCTCCAAGTGTGGACTGAAGAATCGAACCCCTATCTCGCTCAGAGATAAAAGTGATGAGCAACAATGATACTTATTGGACGAACAACATTGCATCAGTAGAAGAAGTAAACACATTAGTGCTGCTAATTAAAGTTGCAAATGAACACTAATTGGAAGAAGTGAACATATTAGTGCGCTCTGTGGAATATAATAAAAAAGCTAGAATCTATTTTAAGACTAAATGTCATAGGATCCGTTTTAAACATACATAAAGTAATTAGTAAATGGTTATACACTTATACATCTACGTATGGAAATTTATATAAAATATATAAACTTGTATATAGATATAAGTAATGAATTGAGATAGATTGTCCTTTGTTTTACTTGCATACCATAAAAAAAGAGTGTTACCAATAACTTATGAATATGTATAATCATAAAATTCAATAAAGAATATAACTTTAGGAGTGATGAAGGTGTACATACTTATTATCCATGGAGTATTATTTCAGACACTATATTCCATTTCATTGGTATCTTGATAGTAGCAACAATTTGACTTTTGTACTTCATAATATTCATATGAGCTTTAACATATTTTCTTACTTGTATATAAAAATATAAATATACTATGAGAGTGAGGGGTAGCTCAGTTGGTAAGAGCTTCCGTCCCGATTTCAGGTGATCCTGAGATCGATTCTCATCCCCGCCCTAGTGGCTCATATGAACCAAAAAAAAATATATATATAAATGTACTATAGTTTATTATAATTTACAATAATAACTTGTACATAGATAGGGATGGCAGGTGGTATAAAAATGCGGGTCCCGTACCGCACCCACCCTAGTTGGGGCGGGTATGTAGGCGGGTATAGATACAAAAGTCATACCCACCGTGGGTAGTGCGTAGATGGTGGATTTTGAGTTATACCCGCCTATTACCCGCATGACCCGCCCATTACCCGTCTACCCACCTACTTACCCGTATACTCGCCCAAATACCCACATATTGCCTACTACATTGTATATTATGCTATTAATATATATTCACAACAATTTAAAGTGTATAGTGACAAGTTATATAGGAAATTTATTAAAAAAAAATGTTGAGCTAGTGGGTAAAAGGCGGGTGTGGATTTTGGTTTCTACCCGCTTAGACGGGTGCAAATTTTACCCACCGCGGGTGATGGGTAGGTGGTGGGTATAAAATATTTTGGCGGGTGAGTGTATGGGGGAGGGGGTACTCGGACCCGCATCGCCCAATTGTCATCCCTATACATAGACAAGTTTATCAATCAAATTGTTTATCTCAATATATAGTTTGAGTTTTAACTTTTAAGTTTGAATCAAAAAAATGTAATAAGGCAATCTTTTAGGGACAAAAAGGAGTATTTGTTTATCTCCACATTTATAACACAAAACTAACATTACCTCAATGCCTATAAAGAGGCTTCATTATTCTATCCTCGATATATAAGATAATGAATAATTATCGATAATACGTATGCGCAAGTCGATCATAATTAGTTCCATAGCTTAATTCGATGTTAATACATATAGGTAGCCATGAAAAAAGGTTGTAAAGTTCATGATCGAAAGTGCATTATAGGAAAGCACATTATAATTGTGACGCCATTGAATATATGGATGAGAATTTCGCATGCGATGAAACTTCAAGAACAAAATGAATGGAAGAGTGCATCATCTTAATATAAAGTTGGCAATAAGCGTAGATTAGAATGTCAATAGATTATGGAACTATGCTTAGGTTAAAGCTAATTAATTAAGTAAGAATTAATTAACCAAAGAGGTATGGCAATGTAGGGGACCAATGTACAGATGTTAATAGTCTTTATACGCTTGCTTTTTGTGGAAATTGCTATTATTAGAATTAATTAGTGCTAATTAGATTGCTTTTTTGAAAGGTCATATACTGTTTTTAGTTTTACCTTGAAAAAGGTTCAGATGACCTCTTTATTTTATGTTTGGTTTTCTCACCAAAAAAAAAAAAAAAAATTGTTTTTTTTACCCTAAAACCGAAAGTGTATGTTAGTCGAATCATTAATTAGGACCTAGCTAGCTATTTTAATTTCTTCCCTTCTATAGCTAGGGTTAGGAAAGATTTATCAAGTAAAACTCATCATATTATAGTTGACCAATAAAATAAATATCTCAACTTTGATTTAGATTGAATCGTAATATGAAAAACATGAATGAGCTAATCTTAGTTATCGAGAGTAGAGCTTAGCAAGCTCAAATTTTATGAGAGTACAGAGTACAAAAATTAGCTCAAATTTAATAAGAGTACACAAATTAGCTTAAATTTAACAAGAGTACACTAATTAATTTAAATTTTTTAAGAGTATACAAATTAGCTTAAATTTTATGAGAGTATACAAATTAGCTTAAATTTTATGAGAGTATACAAATTAGCTTAACTCATATCAAGATTACACAAATCATCCAAAACCTTATCGGCTCTAAACCCTATTCAATGTTATTTATTGCTAACGGGATTAACGACTCGTTCTCAATATACACAAAAAAGGCACCACGCCTAGTGGCTAATATAGATATGGAAACACTAACAGGATTTGGGCCTTAGTGTATGGACTTAAATACCTTAAATTTTTTTTTTGGGGGGGGGGGGGGGGTGGGGGGAATAAAAAAAAATTGGCCCATGCAGGGGTCGAACCTGCGACCTTGGCGTTATTAGCACCACGCTCTAACCAACTGAGCTAATGGGCCAGGGTTGACATAGTAATGTAAAATAATTAAACAAAGTATTATTCTGCACAAAAATCAGGATAAAGTTGGATAATGAACAACCAAAATAAAATCTGCTATCATTTTAGCCATTGAAGAGAGAGAAAAACAGAAAATGGAGAATATCACAGCAAGTGAAATTGCAGGTTTAGGGGTTGGTGCTTTCCTCCTTTGTGCCACTATTGCTGCCCCTAAAGTTGATGCCTTTATCTCCTCTTCCCAAAGAAGGTACACCTTCTAATTTACCATACAATATACGAAGTATGTATGTTTTTCTGTTCCGTCTAGAATTAATAGTCACGCTGATAGTGTAATTTGAACTGCTCGGCGCATGGTGTATTAATATTGTATCGTTTATGTTGTTGTTTACTTTTGCAGTTCATTGAAGATGTGCAAGAGATGTGGGGATGTAAAGCTGATAGCTTGCAAAAAATGTAAAGGGTCCGGATTAGTCAAACCGGGTGGATTATTTGGATTGAATAATCCAATGGATGATTTAGTTTCGAGTCGATTCGAATCGAATGAGAGTTCAATACCTTGTGTTAATTGTGGAGCTAAAGGCCATTTTCCTTGCCCTCAATGTTACCAAGCTTCTAATGAATCACAATAAGATTATTATTTGATATCAATGTAAATTATGGAGTATAATAGTTTATAATGATACAAAAGTTTGTCCCTTGTTTTGAATTAGAACTTACAAGATTTTCTATGATATATTTACTTTGTATGTTGGTTTATTTCTATGTGTATGATTTTTTTTTTTTTTTTTGATTAATGGTTAATCCTATATAAGAGATTAATACATGTTTTGGTGCCAAAAAATAAGTTTTTACATAAAGCATGGAAATTTATACCAACATGTTTATACAAATACAAAGGCATCGCGCAATTTGAGCTATTTTGATGTAATTTTTAACAAACAAAATTTAGACTCTTATTTGAATCAACTAGATATTTTAGCTTTTAAGCTCATTCTAAATCAATTGCAAATTTGCAATTGCTATTGAGGTTTTGGATTAATAGTTAGATTAATTACTAAGATCCTACATTTTGTATAGTTGTTGCAAACTATTTTGAAGGACAAATTTCTAGCTTGGGCTATTGTTTCTAAGTTCTTGGACAAACGAAATATTATTAGAAAACGTAAAGTACAAAATTATACTCGTACGAAGTAAATGGCAAGAGATTTCTGCGAGTAAAACTAAGGGCCGGTTGTGGCATCCTATCTAAATTGAACGATCATGCAGGCCCATACTCTTTGGGCCGTGCTCAGTCCAATTGACAAATGTCATGTTTATGATTAATGTGGGTCACATTTATTATTTTTTTATTCAATTTTTTCAACTAAAATCTATAATAACTATAACTACTTCGTATATATTAAAGTGAAATAAGGAATGACACATGTCATCTCCTGGTTAAAAATTTTCCCTCTAAATTTTTTTTTTCGCCAAAGCTTTTTAGAAAAGTATTTAATACTTACTGTACAATAATATTTCTCTTCCTATTTGGTAAGTATATTTCATTTATACACATTCAACAATGATTTTATTCTTTGATACAAAAATATGCAATAATATTTTCTTATCTATAACTTTGTGTGTAATCCAAAGCTACTTTTATTAGTCATGCATGTATATTTGTAATTACAGAATTTTCATCCTATTTTGCAATTAGACATAAATTTTTATATTTAAATAATAGTGTTAAACTAACGACGAATATTGAAAATTACCGTGCATGACACGGGATCTAACCTAGTAAAAAATAAAATAGTACTCCGTATACCCTCTATAGTCTATTCTATAATGGTTTTACATTTTATCGTTAAATTTTAACGAATTAAAGTTCACTATTTTTTTTTAGTAATCAAACTCCGCTAATCTTGTTGTTTATACTCCGTATTTACCTTTACTCAATCGAACTCCACCACTTTAAAAGCGTGTGCAAAAGGCAAATATAAAAGTTCGTACACTTCAACATAGCATTAATTCTTGCTTTGGAGGTGACTATGGTAAGTAGCAGGTCAAAGTTTGATATCCATATTAGGCATTTGCTTGTGGAAGCACGTCACTGTGTATGGCTTTTTTTTAGTATCAAAGAAACATTTTCCCGACCATTTGGGCTAGCTAGAACCTAAAATTGTAATAATTCTAAACACGTTGAAACCAAAATGTCCATAAAATAAAACTTTCTATAATACTTTGCATTCCTAAAACATACGAGTAAGTCACATAGATTTTTGGACATTTTATCAACTTGGAAACAGTTTATTTGAAAAATGACATGCACCGTATCTGAAAAACTAGTCATATTCAATCATACACAAAGTATGTTTAATATAACAGAGATCTTTTTTCATATTGGGTTTAAGCTAACGTATCTAAATCGTATTAAGCTTGGTGGAAATTTCGATTTAATTACCTCTATATTCCAAATATATCTTTGTTATATGCAAAAGTATATTCTTCATAATAGTTATGATTTGACCAAAACTCCTCATTTGGAACTTGGAAGCCAAAATTATTCACATTATTATGAATCAAGAACTTTAGAAATTTAAAAAAATAGGATATTTTTTGATATTCCATGCCATATCTTATGACCATAATGCCATGATTAATTTTTGTTAACTAAGCTAGTTCTCTTTTGGGGTTAATATTTTAGTAACTATAATTTCCATAAAATGTTTCTATACAAATACAGTAGTTCTCAAAATTAAAATTAGGAAAATTTGCAAATTACCACCCACAAAATATACCTATTTTGATATAACCACCCAAAAAAAAAATATTGTAAAATACCACCCACTAATTTAAAAAAACGCTCAGATCGCCACCCATTTAGAATTTCCGGTGGAATTTCCGTCTGTGGGCCCCACTTTTTTTTTTTTTCCTTTTTTTCTTCTATTTTACGGATTTCTCACTCTCTCTCCCCGATTTTTCACTCTTCTTCTTCCTACCTTCTTTCTTTCTTCTTCCCAACCACCACCACCACCATTGCTCCACCTTTTCTAGCAAATCACCTATCTCCTTTTCCAGCAACACCGAAAACCACCTCTCCCCTTCCCCCCAACCCCCTGAAAAACCATCCATTCCGTTCGCCAGCCCCCCCTTAGTTCCGCCACTGCCTCCTTCGTTCCAAATCGCCACCACCGTTCCACCTACAGCCTGCAATTGAGCCACCAAGCACCACAAAATCGCCACCAAATCCGTGCAAAACTGCCCATGTTAACCCACACACACCAAATCGCACCAAATTGCCACCAATCGCACCAAATCGCCACCACCGCACCAAATCGCCACCATTGTTCCAACTTTGGCCCGCAATTGAGCCACAAATCGCCACCACTTCCCAATTCAATAATACATGTACCCTAATTGATGAAATAACACAACTAATTCCCCAATTTTCCCCAATTCAAGGGCAACAAGAACCCTAATTAACTAATCCCCCATTTTTTCCTCAATTACAGTTCTTGTGGATGCTTCTGCAATTAAGGGAAGCGTTTTTTGTGAAATTTTGGGAAAATTTGAAGAAGAAGATGGTGTTTTACTATGGAGAAGTGTTTAATGGGAAAAAATCGGGGAAGCAATGAGTTAAAAACCAAAAAAATAGTTGTTATTAGCCGTTGAGTGGGGTCCACAAACCGAAATTCCACCGGAAATTCTAAATGGGTGGCAATCTGAGCGTTTTTTTAAATTAGTGGGTGGTATTTTACAATATTTTTTTTTTTGGGTGGTTATATCAAAATAGGTATATTTTGTGGGTGATAATTTGCAAATTTTCCTTAAAATTATATGATGCATAATAAGGGTCTGAAAAGAGGAGATAAAATTACTCAACTTTGAAATTATTGTACTAAAAAAGGGTAACAAATCGTTAGTACTTTATTTAACACATTATCTAATTAATTAAGAACATTAATCAATTTACATTTTCAAGTTGAGGGAAGGAATAAAAGAAAAAAAAGTAAAGATTATATTGGGAGAAGAAGAATGAAGTTTTCCTATAACATAGCTAAGCACTGGCTAAAGGACTTAGAGCATGGTGGTAAAGCAATAATAGTGATAGAAGCCTGCATTGTGGCTCTTTTATTTCTTTGCTCCTGTTGCCTGTGTTGCTCTATTCACTGGGAGGAGAAAAAGAGGATTAAGAGGATTGAAAAAATACTCAGTGCTGATTGGCAAGAGTATTTACGTACTCGACCGCGATTGGTTGATCAAGAGGAACCACAACAACCACCACTACCACCACCGGCGGTTAATAATAGTGTTTAGGTTACTATTTTGTTATAAATATAAGAGTCACTTATGATGTATGTACTCAGTAATTTCAAATCTTAGTAGTTTTTTTTTGTTTTCAAGTTATAGATTTCGAAATTTATTTTATCAAATTGAATGTCAACCTCGACTATGAGTTTTTGCATTCCTTCATTATACTCCGTAAATAAAGTGTCCCGTTCATGTATTACCCAATTTAAATGTTTTGTGTTTACTTTGAGAAGTGATTTCTGTGTACCCTAACTACTAAAATGTACTTTTTTTTTTTTTTTTTTTTTTTTTTTTTTTTTTGACAAGAAGAAAATAATTTCATGAATAAATAGTCATATGACATCTACAATATTTGTAAACCCCAAATTTAGAGAAATTAACATAACTTTTCCAATCAAAATCATAATTAATTTGCATATTTGGCATAGCTCACACTCCACCGCTTCAATCTTGACGCGAGCTGTGATTTTTGATGTTTTGCATCTTTCCAAGTAGAGACCTTCGCAATTTGCGCTGATGTTTTGATCGTAGAGTTGATGACAAACCCTAAACCCATATGGAAAAACCCAAAAAAATTGGGACAGACTCTCACAAATGGAGAGAACAAAACAAAGCAAAAAAAAAAAAAACAAAAGCAAACCAAGCAAAAACTTAATAAAATTAAAGAAAAAAGGTCGAAAATACTCTAATTTCTCCGAGTAGAGAGGAGGGAAGAGAGAGAAGAGAGAAAAGGAGGCGGCAAAATGTCTTGAGGTACCATAATATATTAAATTGTAGAATTAGATTATGACTTGTATTAAACAAAACAACGCTGCAATATCTACATTAGAAAGTCCTGAAAAATTGTGATTGTACTTCTATTGCTTGCTTAATAACCCTAAAGTTGTATAGCGTAGTCAATCGATCAATCACCACCTTATTATCCTTATAAGTACTCTAATTGTTTTAAGACCGAAAATGTCTACACTCAAGACTCAACAAGTACCCCATTAATAAATTTCAAACTTTAAACCATGGACTATTTCAAATTGCATCTCTAATTATATCAAATAAAACAAATCTTAAAATAACAATTTTCTACTGTATTATCGATTTCATGAAATTTTGTGCAAATATTGCCCAAGTTACTACAGTTCACTAGAGTTTTAGGGGTAATTTTTTTTCTTCAGATTTTACAGGACAAATGTCAAGCAAGCAAGCCAAACAAAGCACAAAATTAAGGGGTAAAAAACCGGAAATCCAACGGCCGAAATTACTGTTCAGATACCGCCGTCACTCATTAACATGTCACGGCACTTCAATCACCTGAATTACTATTCCAAATAACTTCCAATTAGCCACTCATAGATTGACACGTACGTGATATTTGCGGCTTGTTTGGACAAAGGTAAAAACAATCATATCCAAATTAAATTGAAAGAAATAAAAATTCTTTTTTTATTTTTTTGAACAGTAAAAAAACT